ATATAGATTTGTTAAGACGACAAACAGGATTTTTGAAACCAGGGGGTACATTCAGACCTGGGGGAATTTTCATGTAAACCTCTTCATCAAGGTCTCCATGAAGAAAAGCTGTATTAACATCAAGTTGATGCAAATGCCAATTATTAATAGCAGCTAAAGATAAAACAAGACGAATAGTAGTGTGTTTAACAACTGGAGCAAAGGTTTCTAAGTAGTCTAGGCCAGGGGTTTGAGTGTACCCCTTAGCTACTAAACGAGACTTAAACCTTTCTATCTCACCATTTGAAAGAAATTTAACTTTAAAGACCCACATGTTTCCTATGGCAATCTTACCATCAGGTAACTCTACAATTGTCCATGTATTAGTTTTATCTAATGAAGCTAATTCAGAATTGCAAGCTTCTGACCACCTAGGATCCTTAATAGCTTCTTTGTAAGACCTAGGTTCTAGAATGGCAGAACTGGCCAGAATATACTTTTTGTATGCTGGGCTGAGTTTATCAAAAGACATGACTTGAGATATAGGGTATGTAACCCCATCACATTCAACAGTACAAATATAGTCATTAAGCTTTTTAGGACGCACCTTAACACGAGGAGGCCTCGCATACGGTGGGGGTTCTACTGCCTGAATAATATCCACTAGATCTAGAGGTTCCTCGGGTGGAGGAACAGAAGTATCTAAATCCACAGCAGAATTAGGCAAGACAGAAGTAGGAATAGATGACAAAGGTGATTCAGAAGGAGTATACTGAACTATTGTATCCTGAACTTGAATGTAAGGGAAACAGAAATCAAAGTCAAGAGTAGATTGAGAATTAGCAAAGGGGAAAACATGCTCGTGAAAAACAGTGTCCCTTGAGTTAAAAATATTGTGGGAAACCAGATTATAGAGTCTATGCCCTTTAACAGTGTTAAGGAAACCTAAGAAGATACAAGGGTCAGCCCTGGGGGCAAATTTGGATCTGTTATGTTGCAAAGTTGAGGCAAAAACTAGACAACCGAAAACCCTGAATTCATTATAAACAGGTTTGGTGTGAAATAATAATTCATATGGAGAGAAATTCTGTAAAAGTGGAGATGGCATTCTATTAATAAAAAAAAACAGAATGTAAAACTGCAAATCCCCAGAAAGTGATTGGACATGAAGCTTGAAACATAAAAGCACGTGCAACAGCCAATATGTGTTGATGTTTCCTCTCAACACGACCATTTTGTTGGGAGGAAGCTACACAAGTTGTTTGGTGTACAATACCAAACTCCTTGTAGAAAGAAGGAATGTTGAATTCTTGGCCATTATCAGTCCTTATTGTTTTAATTTTAGATGAGAATTGAGTGTTAACAAAGGCTGGCAGATCTAACATGATTTGCCTAGCTTCACCTTTTGTTTTTAGTAAATAAATCCAAGTGTGTCGTGAAAAATCATCAACACAAGTGAGTAAATATCGATATCCATCAATAGTAGGAGTCTGATATGGACCTCATATATCTAGATGAAGTAAGTCAAAAGGTTGAAGAGCATGAGATGTACTCGAAGGAAAAGGGAGACGCTTTTGTTTTGCCAAAGGACACACAGTACAAGGAGTTTTATTATGACTGATAGGTGGTTTAACATCCTTGTCTAAGAACTGAGATAAAGGGATAGCAGTATGACCAAGTCTATAATGCCAAACATCAAAAGGAACATAGTCTGTATTGAAACAAACATTACAAGCAGATGGTTGAGACTTAGGAAGAGGCACGTTGAGATGATAGAGGCCAGATTCTTGCTTAGCTGTACCAATCATTTCGAGGGATGAAAGATCCTGGATTAAGCAAGAATCGGCAGTAAATTGGAGAGAACAATTTGAAGATTGGACTAGTTTAGATTCTGAAATAAGATTGAATGTGAAAGCTGGAATATACAGGACATCATATAAAATCAGTTTAGGAGTGATGGCAATATTCCCTATGTGTGTAACCTGAACTTTTACACCATTAGGTAGAGACACAGACATATTATTTATGGTTTTATATGTTTGAAACAAATGTAACACAGAGACAACATGATCAGTAGCACCACTATCTACTATCCAATCCATAGAAGTGAGAACTGAATTAATAGAAGAGAGAACCGTACCAGTGTCTTCAGTGGGAACAAGGTTAAGACCAACAGGTTGTGGAATGTAACCCGAATGAACAGCCTGAGGAACTGTGCCAGAATCAGCAGTGTGAGGAATAAATCCAGAGTCAGCTGAAGTGTGTGGATGAACCTCTGGTGTAACAGAGATCTGTCTAGCCGAGGTGATCAGATTAGCTACAGGAGTAGCAGAAGGTCGTTGAACATGCTGAACCTGAGTCTGAGAGAGCAGAGACTGGTACTGAGCTCTAGTGAGGACAACAAAATCATCAACCACCGCTCCAGTAGGAGGATTAGGAGAATCAGAATCAGCCACAGTAGCATTAACTCGGCGATGCTTATATCCAGGAGGATATCCATGAAGTTTGTAACAGCGATCCACTGTGTGCCCGAATCCTTCACAATGAGTACAATAGGGCCTCTTCTTACCCCCACCAGGACCTTGAGCAGAAGATCCCTGACCCTTGCCTGACCATACTGATGTCCTTTGGAAGTTCCATGAACAGCAAGAGCCGTAGGAAGTGACGAAGGCAAACCAGACTGCCTTTCATGCTAAGCTAGACTAGAGAACACCTTATTGATAGAAGGCAAAGGATCATTCAACAGGAGCTGAGACTTGATATGAGCAAAACTCTCATTCAACCCTTTCAGAAACCGAATAACCTGGTCCCTACGCACGTACTCACGTGGAATCGATGAAGCAGAGCAGGCACACTTAGGATTGCAAGTACACACGGGAAGAGGTCTGAGAATCAGGAATTCCTCCCATAACACCCGAAATTTGGTAAAGTAAGCACTGATCGACATTGAACCTTGCTTGAGAGCAGCAATTTCATCGTAGATATCAGAGATTCGGATTTCATTACCTTCACTGAAACGCTCTCGAAGGTCTTCCCAAGCTTCTACTGTTGTGTTGAAACACAGTACACTTTGCGCAATCTCGGGCGAAACAGAACGCTGAATCCACCCAAGCACCAGAACATTGGCCTGGTCCCAAGCGCTCCAGAGAGGATCATCTGGCGACGGGACCGGTGAACCAGAATCAATCAAGGGAAGCTTGTTTCGTGCATGCAATCCCATTCGCATCGATCGCGCCCAGCTGTGGTAGTTGGAACCAGAGAGCGGCACTGTCACAAGCTGCTGAGCAGACAAATCGCCATTGGCCACAAAGAAAGGGTGCGCCGGCGAGAGCGAAGACGAACCACCAGCCATAGCACTCACCGGAGGAGGAGCACCTCCCGTCGCGTTGACAGCAGAGAAAGACGCCATCGATCTTGATCTGAAACTGATGAAAGAACCACGAACCACGAACTGAAGAGGCAACTGAGCGAATGCAAGAACCACAAACGAATCGGATAATCGATCGTCGCGGAAGAGCAGAGGAACGAATCGGATAATCGATCGTCACGGAGGAGCAGAGGAACGAATCGAAGAGAACGAAAGGAACGAAGAATCAGAGAAAGCGGAAACTGGATCGAATCGATCGAAGAAAGATCGAGAAGCAGAGGAAAGAGAAACGAACGAGCTGTTCCTTTCTCCCGAAACCCTCGAGAAACAGAAAGAAAATGACTGGAAAAGTCAAGAAAAGCAAGAGGGTGAAAGTCACCGCTCTGATACCATGTCGTTTAGGGAAGCCATCAGGCGCATTTTATTAATTGGAATTAGAAAAGTTACATTATTCATTACAACACCACATATATATATATTAACTACAAACTACCTATACAGTACTCACATTTTACATATTTACAATAACATCTATAAACTAATCAACAACTACATCTAGGTCCTCGTCGTGTCCTCCTTGGACAACTGGAGCAACCAGGGAATGAAGTTTGAGGAGTTGGGGTTGATCGACACCAAACCCCAACAAGAGATAAGGCCAAAAACATCAACAGTCGGGGTATTGCTAAATTCGAAATTATTATGTGTCAAATCAAGTTTCAGACATCATTTTTTTACACGATTCATGTCAAATTATTCTAACCTGAACATGCAAGCTGTATTCGAGAAAGCGTTAGATGTGAGACAAAGTAGAATAAATGGACCTAAGCCAACCTTGGACGAGAAAGCGTGGAAGGCAAAAGGCCGGGTGTGACCGCATTTTCCGATCGAAGGGGAGCAAGCGAGCATTGTGACGACCACCAATGGTCCTATCAAAGAAAGGGACGAGGCCTAACTCATATCTTAAGATTGAGGCAGGATAAACACTACTTACTGATAAGGCATCGTACTTTCTTTCAGTTGGAGTGTAAGTTAAGATCATTACATTGGATACCCAATAGAACACCGATCAAAAGAATGTCAACGTGGCAACAAAACCCCCTCTCCACGTCAACCAGATAGCACAGGTGGATGTAAAACGCAGACACATCCAGTGGGTCCTACCAAATAGAGCAAAGCCGGGGCTTCCCTTTGCGAGGGTTTGTGTCAGAACTCAGAAATGGAACCCACCTAGAGGGAAGGCTAAACAGCAACAATGGGAAAAGTCAAAACACTGTTGTCCTTGTCCATCAATACTTTCTGTATCTATCTCTCCGCCTCCGCCCCAGCCCACTCACCACCCACCGGCGGCCAATCAGGCACGGCCGGTTACCCTCTCTCTCTCTCTCTCTCTCTCTCTACCAGAGAAAAAAGTTGATGGGTGGTGATGGGCTGAGCTCCCTCCCATGGTCTAGGTCAAATCATTATACAAATACATCATAATAAATGCATAAACATGCACCTCTCTTCACCTAGAGTCCACTACACCACACTAGCCTCTTTCTTCCTGCTGTGCTGCATGGAAGGAAAGGAAACAAAGGCTATAAATCAACCCCAGCTGTCATCAACAAATGAGATTTGCCTCTCCGTGACTCCATGGATGAAAGAACTTGATTACACTTACAACACCCATTTCTTTCTATATGCTTGTCTCATCACGATGCAACAAATGATACTACATCGTGATCGAAATCGAGCAGTTTGGCAGGAAGGTGAATTTTGCTAAGCTCAAATCTAGCTTAGTTACAGTCCCTAGCCAGTTTCCTCAGAAGCCTCTCGATGCTACTTGCTGTTCTAGAGGCGTGGGATGTGATCATATGATGGATGATAAGATATGATAATACTATTTACTAAACACATGCACATAACTACTACTAATATAATACTACATCTGTTTGTTTTTTTTCTTTTTATCGTTATATTCTTTTCATTCTATCACTTCATTTCATGGCAGTAGTTCACATTATCTGTTTTCTTTATTAGCTAGCTGCTGCTGCTGCTGTCCCTGTCACTGTTCCCATTCTCATCCCCACCGCCGCTGCAGTCATTCTCTTCGGCAGAAGTACTGTTTCTGAGGCCATCTACGTTACCATTCAGTTCTTCCTCCTGATTCTGCTTCTGAACATTGTCTCCTGCTCCTCCGTTGATGGGGCAAGGGTCAGTCAGCTGCTTCCCATCCCTCGGCGGGGAGAATACCACCGGCAGATAGTGCTCCACCTCGCTCGGGAACTTGCTGTTCTTGAAATGCTCTTTCAACGCCTCCAACCCCTTTATCATCCACCCACCATTCAAAAATCAGAACGAAACCCAAAACGAAACAAATGAAAAAGAGTGCAGCTTTGCGAAAAACTAATAATTTCTACCTGGACTCTGGCGTAGGTGACTTCACAGATCTTCTTGGAGTTGAAGACCTCCCAATGTTGATGGTGGAACGCCTTGTACAGCCTCCACGCCCCTTGCGGCGATGTCATGTTCACGAACCCATATCCCACATTGCACTTGTTGCTGCGTTTCAATTTGATTCGATTACTTTACATGCACACTACGATGGTGGATACAGAAATAGAACTAGAGAGAGAAAGCTAGAGATAGAGAGAGAAGAGTACTCACTTGAAATCAATCGGGAGATATACAAAATCATAAGATGAGAAAGGCTGCTGATTGTGTTCTTCACCACCACCATCATCATCACCAGCAATCTGCTCGTTGCAGTGGATGCAGTGATTGTCCAGCATGTTCAACAGCAGCTTCTGACTGTTCCAATAAAGAAATAGAACCCCCAAATTCAAAACCCAAATCTTAAAATAGGGGGAAAGAAAGAAGCAACAGAAAAGATTGGATCTTTTATAATATGGACCTGTACTTGTTGGGTATGTTCTTTATCATTACAGTAGTCCTGGAATCCCCCCAATTTGACGATGATGAAGATGATGATTCCACCATTGCTTCTTCGTTTATTAGAAATCGGCTGTCATACCGATTGTTATTCCCTTTCATCAATTGCTTCCCTCCTTTCCAAACCCTACTGCAACCATTACCATTCCCGCTTCCACTTCCACCACCACTCTTCTGCTGCTGCAAACCCACACGGCTCTGGCTTAATTTCTTCCCACCTCCCTTCATCGATAAGCCCTCCATTCCCAGAGAAAACCCGTCCACAATAGGATTCTTCCTCACCATTATACGAGGTGGCGAAGATGGCCGAGGGTTGAAACTCCGCCGTGTAGACGGCGGCGGCGGTGGTCGGAGTGGGATGTACTTTGTATCCTTGTCGATTACTTTTGCACTGTTGTTGGCGGTGGAATTGAAGAACTTCTTGCTGAACCCACCTGGCCGGCTGAACTCAATCACCACAGGCCGCCCCAAAATCTCTTTCCCGTTCATCTCACTCAAAGCTCTGGCGGCGTCTCTCACGTCGTAGAACTCCACAAACCGCTGCTGCTTCTTTAGCGGTGTCTCTCTCACCTCCTTCACCGCCCCTGTAAAAAATTAAAATTATTCACTGAGACATATCGTCGAACACTACGTGCGCTTTGCTTCCCCCAAAAAATTTGGGGCTACATTAAATTGCTATTGTTTTTATGGGTTACCGAAAGGTTGGAAGATCTGTTGGAGCTGAGAAGTGGAAGCGTTGGGGTCCAAATTGAAGACGACGATGGTCCCCTGGTTATGACCCTCGGTGACGGCGTCTATCGACGGAATCGTGAACTGGGCCCACACGCCGCCGCCCCACCCCAGGTGGAAGAAGGGTCCACGCGCCGCCGCCGTGATAAACCTGCCCCCACCACCGGCCTGGTACTGCATGCGGTGGTCCCGGATGGCGGTCAGCGCCGCCTCAGCGTGGCGGATGTCGTAGAAATGCACGGTGGCGAACCCGTCGCGGATCCTCTCCATCTGGACGCCCCTCACGTCGCCGAACACTTCGAGCTCGCGGCGGATTAGGGTTTCGCTGACGACGCCGGCGTCGGTGGGAAGCGAGGAGAGTAGAATCGCCCGCGTCGGGGTCAGCAACGGCGGCGCCGCCGCCGGCGGAGGACTCGGTTCGGGCTGGGGAAGGTAATCGTGATTGAAATTGTAAGACACGTTGAGATTGTGATGAAACGGGTGGAAGTGGTGGGGGTGGTAGCCGAGGAGTCCGTCGGCGGCGTACGAAGGCGGCGGAGGTGGGTAGAAGAATTGGTTGTGGAGGGGAGGTGGAAGGACGGGGAGGTGGTGGTGAAGCGGAGGTGAGATGACGTGGCGGGGGCGGAACTCTTGGGCTTGAGGGTCGAGGGAGCCAGGGAAACGGAGGTACCCACCGGCGTCTCCCATGGCAGAGTTTGGCGATTTTGGGTTCTGGGTATTTGTTGACGGGACAGTATATGGAGATGGTGTTTGCTGGTTTTTGTAGGATTTTGATTTTCTCTCTCTTCTGGTTCGCCCTTTTCTCTCACTAAGGATGTCTGTCTTTATTGGAGGGAAGAGGCCAAAATGGAGGGGGAAGAAGAGCAGTAGAAGTAGTGTTGCTTTTTCTTCTGATTTTCTACAGCTTTCCTTTCCTTTGGTGGTCAAGCTAAAGTTGCTAAAAATGTCCTTTTGTTTTTTTGCTTTTTGTTTTTGCTCACTCCCAGTTTGAAAGAATGGTGGAGATTTACCATTCTGTCCCCCTCCATCTGTTCACTGTCTGCCACAGTCAAATTCTCTTCCTCTTGCACAAGGACCGATTCAAGTGTGTGTTCTGTTCTTCTTTTGGGTCAAGACTCAAGAGCAAAATTAGTTTTTGTTCCAAAACTCAAAGATTATTATGTATTAATTTTTGAGTTTTGAAATATTGTTTCTGGCTTTGAAAAAAAAAAAAATAAAGGGTTATAGGTATAATATGCCCTTTTATTATGACGTTTTATCAAACATGCTCATCTACTATTTTTTACATCAAACATGCTCCTGTACTTTGGAAAACTTATCAAACATGTCCTTTTGTTAAAATTTACATCCAAAAACCGTTAACCAAACCGAACTTTGGTTTGGGAGACCCAAATATCTAAAATATCCCTAATAATTTCACTGTAGAGTTTTTTTTGTTCTTTTGTATAGCCAAATAATTCTAATAATTTCACTTTGACGAGACATAGAGAAATAAAACAAGGGTCAAAACTGACATTTCCCCTCCCATTATCGATGTCGGGCCGTCTAAATCTCGGTTCAACCATGATTGACGATTTTTCCAATGGAAATTTCAACTGAAGGGCATGTTTGATAGTTTTTCCAAATTACAGGGGACATGTTTGATGTAAAAAATAGCATATGTTTGATAAAACGTCATAGTAGATGGGCATATTATACCTATAACCCAAAAGTAATTGGTGGGGGGTTTTGTTGAATTATTTATGGGATAACTAGGGAAGGAAATGTGAATATTATGTCCGCTCAAATTAGTTTCCATTTTTTTCACTCTACAAAATGTTAAATAACATTAAGATGAATAAGTAACATTGTGAAATAGAACACGTGAAATAAGATTTCATACTTAAAAAGTGTTGATATCATTTTTGCTTTATAGTTTTTACAAATTTGAAGTTTGGAGTTTATCCTATTCAGTCTTGACAAACGTTATATATAGAGAAATTTTTTATGCATCAAGTTCTGTAAGCGGTAGAGACTCTCATGTTTATGTTCAGCTACATCAAGGATTCGAGGTCAAAACACAAAATAAAAATGTAACTATGAATCACAAATATTTTCACTTTGCATTTCTCTTGAAATGACTAATGCTTTAGATGGATGTCCACAACATGATTGTGATTATGGCGGTGGAATATCGGCCGATACAAATAAAATCCAACCGGTATTGATTATATATATATATATATATATATATATATAAAAATTCATTTTGTGTTAATGATTTATGGCTTCCCTGCATGTTTTACTAGAATTGACATAAACAGGGATTAAAATGATTGTATCAACAATCAGATCATATCACTTGTCAAACTAGAATAACCGTATAAATCGGTTTGATAAACTTTAACACGCAATTGTGTTTAAAATTGAAAATGATTGTATCAACAATCAGATCATATCACTTGTCAAACCAGAATAACCGTATAAATCGGTTTGATAAACTTTAACACACAATTGTGTTCAAAATTGAAAATTGTGAACTTATTGGTAATAATTTATGTAGATAATTACTTCGAGCTATTATTATATATAAACTTGAATCCAAGTTACTGTTGCCTAAAAATTTCAGTTTTGGTCACCTATTTTTTCAGTTTTACATTTATTACCATCATATAATAATAATGTCAAATCAAAATGGGTTTTCATTGTTGTTGTGGTATTGGAGTAATGTGTTTCTTTTTGTTGTTGGCTCTTTCTATATATTTTATTTTAGAAAAATCTTGGCTTTATGTATAATAATATTATCATTAAAATGCAATGTGGGTAGAGGTGATAACAAGTCGGAGTCAGATAATGTAGGTATATTTCTCAACCCAAAATAGTTCGGATTTTACTCATATCCATATCCATATAAGCATCGGATAAAATATCAAACCATACACATACCTGATCGGTTTCGGGTATCCATGAATAATGTTAACAACTCTCTTCATATACCGACATTATATAAGTGACAAATTACAACAATAAATTACTGAAATGGAGAAACTTAGTGAGAAACATATAATTTCATGAAAATATTATATATGAATGATAAATATGAAATATGTTAAGAAAAGAAATGATAATTTTTAAACAAAATACATATGCACGTGTATAATCAAACACTTAGCACTAATAAGACACTAAGCAAGTGCTAATGATAGTGGTTCACACAATTTTCTAAATTTGTTGGGTCTAACCCCAAAGAGTTGGTTTTACAATGCGAAACTTTTAGAAAAGCGGTCACGTATGTTTTGAAGCACAACCCCGTGACTTTCGGAATTCTATATATTTTAAGCGAGCAAGTAGAGTACAAAACTCGGGTATGCAAAACCGGGTTGTATCATCATATCACGATTCACGACATCGTGATACGATGATACAATATACCTAACTCACCTGTAAAATTCCCTCTTATCGTAAGCAATTAGGTTATACCTTGATACTTATTCGACATTTTATTACATTTTAAACGTTTGGTATCATTTTATTACCGGCCCTAATATATGTGAGCATTTTGATAATAAAAAAAAAGGTTGAACACTTCATCTCAATCTCTAAGGTGGAACGCGGGTGGCATTGCCTAGTTAACTATTAAATATCAATTACTAGCAAGGAAAATGGCCTAGGGTGAAGGTAGAAAGCTGCATATATATATAGAGAGAGAGGCATCGGAAAAGCCAAAGGTTTCAGTCGGAAGCTGATGGATAAGTAGGGATGGCAACAAAACCCGAACCCACGGGTACTCACCCGACACAACCCGGTCAATGCGGGTAAAATCCGTGTTGACGTGTTTTGGGCCGGGTTCGGGTTTAAACCCGCTACACTATTCACCGGGTCGGGTTTGGGTTTAGGTAAACCCGACCCATGGGTACACGCCCACACACATATAATTACTTTCCCGGTATATTTAATATTCTAAATAATATATTTTCCTTAAACAATTAATATTCTTTGTGTTTGTGGAGACATGTATAATTTGTTATTTCTAATTGTTTAGAATGAAGTTGATATTATGAAGTGGAGAGTGAAGAAACTTAGTTGACGAGGAAGAAGCATTCAATTAATCTTTTGTTTATAGATGTTTATCTTTAATTTTGAACAATTTGTATTGATCATTTGCGGTTTGCTTGTATGCTCTAGATTGGTGTTTTTTTGTATGATTAATTTGTATGAGAAAATTGATGTTAAACTTTTACTTTGAAAGAAACTTGTTATTGTAAATTTTTTACCACAAAAACCCACGGGTACCCATGAACCCGCGGATAACCAGCGGGTTGGGTTTGAATTTTTCAAACCCAACGGGTTTTACCCCGGATTTTTTTGACGGATAAACCCATGAGTTTGGATTTGGGTTTGACAAAACCCGCCCCAACCCGACCCATTGCCATCCCTATGGATAAGGTGCTCAAGTGATGTGATGGAATAGCCTTCCTTTCTTCTCTCTCTGTCTAGTGTTGTTGTGTAAGTGCTAACCCTTTCTTCTGTTACTTACCACTTTTATAAGCTGCTAGCTAGCTTTTCAGTAGAGTGAGTTGGGAAGTCAGAAGCAATGGGTTCTTTCTTCTGCCTCAGCGAAATTGCCAGTTCCTTCATATATATCGCTTTTGATGTGTCCCTCTCTTTTGACTTGGTTACATGTCTCTTTCTACATCGTATTAAGTGGTGCGACGTTCAAGTACTCTGGCCACTCCATACGCTGCTAAAGCCGGGCTGTAACTTCTTATAGTACCGGTATTAGACTAGTTGGTTTACATGGAGTCGATTTGATTGTGAAGTCATGAATTCAAATCCTTATAATCATCAATATTAACAAATGTCTCAGGAAAACACTTTAAATATATACTAGGTGGCGATGCCGCGCCTTGTCGCGGGGCGGAGATGGTCTACGAACATGTATTATGTGGCCCGTTAAGGTATTTTGTTAGTATTATTAGCACTTTTGTTAGTAATATTGACTGAGAAGAGATATATGATGTCAACATCCAATTTAAAAAATCATGAAAATTTTGGCGAATAAATTATATTTAGCTAAACTCTAGTAGACACATTGATTATGGGTAGGTATGGGTGATGTATATTATGGGGTTGGAAGTTTGCGCTTGCATATCTAGTTAACCTAAAACTTGAGGCATTTTATCAGAATTATATAGATGAGAAGTTAGGATTTGAGATCTGCATGTAAGAAGGAAATCATGATAGAATTTCAACTACCCGAATTGCCATAGAGATGAGATTCAATATTGATCACAATCCTCATGATATATATTGATTAAAACCACGACTAATAGTCGTCACTACAACAACCACAGGATTCATGAAAACAAAGAGTTTAGCTAGGGGAGAGAGGTGATAGATTTAAGGTCGAGATATGGTTTCATTAACCCAACCCTTGCCTAATTTGTTGTTAGGGCAAGCTTTGTTGCAAGCGGCGATGAGTTGGTGGAGAGTAACTCCCGCATTGCACATATTGGCTAGGGCTCTCTGCTGTACTGCTTCCCATAGTACTCCGACGACATCTCCTCGCATTCTTCCTTGTATGTTTCCACCTAGCCACGCACATAGACACACGCTCATCAATAATCGGAGTCGCACGTAGATCAAAACCCCGACCGGCAAAACCCTCAAATTGTAGTTGTACCATCGTATCGAGATATATGATATTGACTGAGAAGAAATATATTGAGGTCAACAT